TGATCTGTTTGAACGTGTCTCCGAGTATACTTTGAGGTAGGAGATTGGTGTAGGGTCATGCATTGGAAATCAGCGCTCCAAGTGTTGGTTCTCGTGCGGGTTCGATTCAGGCGTGACACACGTACGCCCTATGCTACTGCGTGAGAAAAATGCCCTTGGTTGGGCCACATCTACGATTGCTTGTAAAAACTTCGCAAGCGGTTCAATAGCTCAGTGGGGATACACCCACTCAAGGGATAGTGACGACTTCCACGGGTGGAGGTAAGTTGTTCCTCACAAGACCCCATAATATCGTAGGGACTCAATCGAGGTATAGCTAGTACACTCGGCCAAAGCGGTAAAGATCCTCGTGTTATTCGCACGACAATACAAAATCCTGCGTGATGTGGCCGATAGGGTCCTCAGCCTCTCTGTGGGACTGATGCGCTCGACGACGCGGGGGCCAGTCGGACGAAAGATACCTTGCACACGAAGAAGAGGATCTTTGTCGCATGAAGGAAACCAAAAACTTATATCGAAATTACTGGAAAACTCCCTAATAGCTTGTGGACTTTACCCTCTCGCCTAGATGGTCGGGCGTGACAATATGCACGAACCACTATTTTCTATAGCAACTACCATAGTTTGAAAACCAAATATGAAGGGACGAGGAAGTTTCAAACGAGTGTGTCACAATCCTAACCCTAAAACGCGATTAGCTATTAGCGACGCTTAGCCCATGCAAATTACTGTTCAAAATAACACAGGTGGCAACACTTTTGCGTCCCGACTCCCGAGTATAGTGACTATGCTGCAGAAGGCCGTATTTCCCCCTCGATGCGGCGAATGTGTAAAATGGCGGGTGTACCTCTGCCCACGCTCCTCGGGTATCGTGAGTATGCCGCAGGAGACCCTATTTCCCCCTCGATGCGCCGAATGTGTAAAACAACGGTTGTATCTCCGGGCAGAAGTTTGATAGGTACATGCGTCATTTTTTCGTCTTGTTTCTCTCACGTTCGATGACTTGAACAGTTTTCACTGGTGCCACCGGGGCCGGGACCCACATGTGCCGTGTAGTTGTAGTTTTCGACAGTATGCGACGTATGGGGGGCGGAAAATCCAGAAACTTGAACTTATCTGCGCCTACTTGCCCGACCGTCCTCATTATGTGCCAACGGTCGTAGTGTCCCGTGATTGGTGGCCAACCTCAATTCGAATCATCTTTTGTTTTTTCTTTTGTGTCCTGCAATGAGAGCGGACGGGGTGGGCTTAAGCATGACACTTGGTGTTCAACATACGGTGTGTGACCGTGCAGGTTGAGAGTAGTAGTGTTTTGCGTCCCATTTGGAGTTATTGCCGGGGGAACGGGTTGACCGCATGGGACGAGGAGGGTTTGTTCTGAAGTTTCAAGCTTTTCACAATCAGCCTCCACGGCCCCCTTCAACCCGCCGCCCCTCCCCACCTACCAAAGACGTTAGTGTCGTCACACGCCCAACGCAAATATCACGATTGAAACGTTTCATCGACCTTGCGTTTGATCAACGAGGAGTATCCACGACCCTCGTTCTTGTCTGGGCGATCTGTTATGACTGATGCGCTGCCACCAACTTCCCTCCATAACTTCGAAGTGGCGGTGAAATAAAGGACTTTCCACCAAAACAATCAACGCAGAGGATCACCGTCGTTGTCGCTGACACTCACACTTTTCTTGGAATTGCTTTCTACCATGCAGAACACGGCCTCGGCTCCTCCCAAACCACGTCTCGATCAATACAAAAGTCTGAAAGACTCGGAAACCGTGTGCTTTTCTCACATTCGCGCGGGTTGACAGTGCGCACGTACGATCCGGGCCCATCATGCGAAGCCCCCAGCCGCCCTATGATAAACTCTACCGGGCATGTGGGTCCCGACCCCAATCTACGGTCCGAAAAATAACCCACCCAAAGAAAAAAAAACATCGGAATGACACTTGTTGGCAGATGTGTGTATTTAGTCAAAGCCTGCGGCCAAATACCTAAGAGGTAGCATGAACCCCTTAATACCACAACTACCCAAGGGTTGTGATTGCCGCAATTATAGCACGTACGCACGCTGCCTGTAGGTACATTAGCCATAGCGAAGCGAAGCCACACGACGAGTAGTGTAACTCCTATGGTGGTTACTCCGTGTAACAAGGTGTATGCCGTCAAAGTCTGCGGTCAAATACCTAAGAGCGAGCATGAACCCCTTAATACCACAACTACCCAAGGGTTGGGATCGCCGCAGTTATAGCAGGTACGCAAGCTGCCTGTAAGTACATTAGCCATAGCGAAGTGGCAGATGGTCAGCGCTCTCACACCAGGACTTTTCGCCATGCATCCTGACCGCACTCATGACCAGTCGTGGGTGTATCTGAGGGCAATTACGTCAGTCGAGTGGCAAAGGCCATAAGGTGGGGGTTGCCTCCTCGCCGCGGCGTCTGCCCTAAGGGGCTGGGTAAGGTGACGTTCTCTTGTGCGTTCGTTGTCTTTCCCACCCCGTCTTCCACAATAGCGGCCTAGCTCAGTTGGTTAGGTATGCAAGTGGCATTCACGAGGTTGTGGGTTCAAGTCCCATGGCCGCCTGCGGCGCACTTAGTGCCAATGGACTGTGATAGTCCTCTGGATACCCCTGATCGGTATTTGCGAGGTCTATGACCAACACATGTGTGAGTGTGAGCGCGAGTGGTTTGTGTGTCATGTGTGGGAGAGTGTTGGCCATAGCCTCTGCTGCTACTGGATGAGGGGTGGGGGACGATGAGAAAGGGAGGTGCAGCTACTGGCAAAATGCTCGGTCTTTGCGTTAGCCGGACCCCCACCGGCGTCCCCACCCCATCTCTGACTACCGCTGTTGGGGCGGGGGGCAACATGAATTACCTCATTTGCGATGCCCTATGCTTGCATGGGTCCCCTCTATATAGTCTTAGGAGTAGTGGTAGGAAGGTCGGGAGCAGCCCCCGTACGTTCTCTCGTGAACACGGTTCTGGCTGCTACGGGGTTCCCCGTATGCCTACAAGTAGTAGTGGTAGGTAGGTAGTGTGAGGGGAAATTGAGAGAAGAATATAGTTTAAAAAAAAAAAAAAAAAAAAAAGAATCTTTTCCAAAAAAAAGAAAAAAAAAAAGAAAAGAACATAGCATAGGAAAAGGTATGCAAAAAGATCCAGCGGCCTAGCTCAGTTGGTAAGGCACGCAAGTGGCATTCAGGAGGTCTTGGGTTCAATCCCCATTGGCCTCATGTACCTTCCTGGGCATGCTTGGCGCCCGCCATCTAGAGATAGCACGTTGGTCCCCCCAAGTGGCATTAAAAAGCAGTCTCTGCTGATGTTCATAGTGGGAGGGGCAATCGGGGAGGCACAGCAACTGGCCACTCAGATGATGCTCGGTCCCTCTGCCACCGGCTGTCCCCAGGCCGGTGTCCCCCGTTGGGGGTTCCCTGAAGGCAATCAAGGACACCCTTGGCTGAAAAGGCCACCCGATGTCAGATTAGCCACAATAATGAATTTACCCGGGCTGGTTAGTCCGATGATAATACCTCAAGGCCAAAAAAAAGGAAAAAAAGAAAGAAGGTACGCAAAAAAAACGAAAAAAAGAAAGAAGGTACGCAAAAAAAACGAAAAAAAGAAAAGAAAAAAGTACGCCCTTTTCCTTTTTTTTCTTTCCGCCTTTACCTTTTTCCTCTTGCGCTTTTATTTTTTGGACGTTTCTCGCGTCTTTTTGCCGCTGTCACTGACGACGGCAACGCAGACACGCGGAAAGATCCCTCTCGGCAAATCGGAAAGTCCTAGAAACCCCGCCCAACTGGCTGGTTACGGCGGGCCTCGCTCCGCTAATCTCGACATGCACAAAAAGACAAAAATCATTGCGGTGTATCCTTCCATGTTCTAGCGGAAGATTCACTCGCGTTTTGCACATTTCGAGAGTAATAACGAGACCCCGCCCTACGTGTATGTCTAACCGCTAACCGCTAATAATCAGGTCGGAAGGTCGAATCCCGATGAAATGAGAGAGGGATGGATACAACAAGGTTAGCAGGTACCCTCTTTTCCTAACTTAAAAAAAGAAAAAAGAAAAAAGAAAAAAGCCGGCAGAACAGTTCGACATGGCCGTAGCTCCCGCCTATACAGACAGATGCAGCCAAGGCTATGGGGCGAGGTCCCACTGGCAAAGAGGATTGGATTGACTTCCTGCATCAGGACGTGAAGACATGCAGAAAATCGAGATTGAACTGCTTTTCTGCACCTATGCTTAAAACATGTCCAGATTCAGGGGCTCAATCCAGTCCTCCTTGCTAGTGGGACCTGGCCCTATGTAGCTAGCACTCACAGCGGTAGCGAACGCCGAGGAACGGCCTCGCCGCACTACTCTTACTCCCGAAATGTGCAAAACGAGAGTCAATCTTCCGCTGGAATATGGAAAGATACACCGCCATGAGTTTTGTCTGTTGTGCATGTCGAGCGTAGTGCAGCGAGGCCCTCCCCGCCCTGCTCACCAAATGCACAGAAGACAAACTGTTTTTTATGGCCGTGTACAGTTCCATGTTTAAGCGGAAGATTCATTCTCATTTTGCACATTTCGCGAGTCCGGCGAAGCCCGTACACACAAGGGAAGGCGGGAGCAGCGAGAAGCCTTCCGTCCAAAAAAAAAAAAAAGAAAACAAAAGAAAACACGGGTGTGTTGAGACTGAGTTGAGACTGAGGAGCATATACCGACGACGTTTGTAACTGGCTGCGTAATACTAATCAGTAATTAGAGGGCATTTCCTTGCGCACGCGCGCTGTGTACTGAGGCGCTCCATGCCCTCTCACCAGTCTCCGCTCCGTCTCTCCTCTCTCCTCTCTCCTGCGCTCACCGACTATAGTTGGAACTTGAACAACATCACGCGATTCATTGCTACCTACCGGTAGTGCCCATATCCTGTCGTTGGTGTGGGGGGCGTAACTCCAGAAGAAAAAGTGTCGGGGGGGGTGTATGCCATGGTGGTGGTTGGAATGCGGAGAGCTTAGAGCAGGGGGAGGAGAATACTTAGCAGCTTTTAGCTATGTCATCAGGCACAGGTTTGCTGACGAGGAGGTAACAAAAGTAAGCACATGCCCTAACTAACATGGAGGCCAAGGCCCGTACTCACACACTCTTCTCTCTTACTCTCTCTCCCTTTCTCTCCGTCTCTCCCTCTCCCTCTCTGTCTGTCACACACAGGCATCTGCTCGTCTCTCTGCCCCCCTTCGTGCCTTATTCCCCTCTCTCTCTCTCTCTCTCTCTCTCTCTCTCTCTCTGTGTGTGACACATACACAGATACAGTCGGCGAACGTTGGAACGAAACAGTCTGGTTTGGCATGCTTTTTTTTGTGCAGTTATCCCTCTCTCTGTGCGTAAGGCATCTCTTCGTCTCTTCCCCCTTCGTGCCTTATTCCTCTCTCTCTCTCTCTCACACACACACACACACACACACACACACACACACACACACACACACACACACACACACA